AGAGATGGGATGAGATGAGAGAGAGAGAGAGAGAGAGAGAGAGAGAGATAGAAAGAAAGAAATGGAAAGGAGGAGGGAGGGGAGAAAAAGGAGAGAAAGTAGAGGGAGAGAGGGAAAGATTGGTGAGAGACAGCAGGTGAGAGAGGGATGAAGGAGAGGAGAAAGAGAGAGAGAAGGAGGAATTGAAGGAAGGAAGGAAAGAGAGGGTTGAAAGAGAAGAAAGAAGGAGAGAGCAAAAAAGACAGAAGAGAGAGAGAAGAGAGGGAACAGAAGAGAGAAAAGAGGGGGGGAGAGCAAAAGGAACAGATGGGAGGAGGGAAGGAGGTTGGAGAGAAAGATGAGGAGTAAATAGAAGAGAGAGGGAGAGAGAAAGAAAGACAGGATGGGGAGAAGCAGGAGAGTGGGAGGGAAGGAGACAAGAGGAGAAAGAAAGAAAGAAATGAAGAGAGAACGTAGAAGGAAAGAGAGAGTATAGAGAGAAAAGAGACAGCAGGTGAGAGAGGGATGAAGGAGAGGAGAAAGAGAAACAGAGAGAGAGAAAGGTGTAGAGGAGAAAGAGAGAGCGAAAGAGAGTCAGAAACAGAGCGAGGGAGAGAGAGATTTGAGTTCACCTTTCTTGTGTCTGTCAAAATATTTTTCCACAACATTTCAGTCCCACCTGGTTATTATTTATTTACAAAAACTAAACTGTAAAAGAGACAAAGAGAAAGAGAGAGGAAGTGTCAAGAAGGAAAAAGAAGCAGAGAGTAGAAAGAAAGAGGGAGAGAGAACAGTCTTTTTGTTCTTCAGTCTCATATAAACAGACACGTCACATTGTCTCACTTCACGTCTGTTTAAAGTGTGTGTGGGAGCGGTCTATCTCCTGGATCATCTGTCATATTCAAATGTGTGTGAAAAGGAACGGGCTATGTGCTGAAGTCTGCAGAAAAAAGGCAGCGATGCAAAATCCACAGAGTTCCTTAAAGGTCCTTAAAGATTCTATATTATGCAAAATGGACTCTTGAGCAGTTTAAAGTATCTCATAATGTTACTGGGGATGTAATGTTATGGAGATTGTGTGATAATAAAATGGCCTCGGTATCATTGTCGTCTCTTTCCAGTGTTAAACTTCATGTACTATTTCTCGGACTATAAGGATTATAAGGCGCAGTATCAATAATGTTGAACTCTCTCGTCTGTTTTCATACATAAGGAGCACTGGATTATAAGGAGCATTAAGCGTGTCACGGGTTCGTCCCAAATAAAAGTAAAGAAGTAAGGTTAAGGTTAAGATTAAGGTTGTTTATTTGTCATTCAAACATGCGAGAGAAACAAATGACAGAACGAAATGTGCTCCTCGAGGCCCAGTGATCCAGAGAGAGATAAAAACAATAATAAATAAGCAATATTAAAAAGTAAATACATCTAAACAGCTACATTTAGCAGTTCCAATAGACAAGTACAAGTAAAAACGTGGCAAGATAGAGTAGCAGCCCAAGCAGGAAGTCAGTGTTCACTGTTCAAAAGTCTCACAGCCTCAGGAAAGAAGCTGAACTTCAGCCCAGATGTTGTGGTTTTAATGCTCCTCAGTCTCCTCCCAGAGGCAGAGGGACAAACAGGTGGTGGGAGGGTGTGAGGAGTCCTCCATGATCCTGGAGGCCCGTCTCCTACAACACTCCTCATAAACGTCACTGATGGGTGTAAAGTCACATCCAGTGATCTTCTCTGCTGCTCTGACCACACGCTGCAGATCTGTCCTGTCCTGGGCTGAGCAGTGGCCGTTCCACACTGTGATGGACTGGGTCAACACACTCTCCACTCCACATCGATAAAAAGACCTGAGAGCAGGGAGGACTAGTCCAGCAGCCTTGAGTCTAATCAAAAAATACAGACGCTGGTGGGCCTTCTTAACAATACTGGCTGCATTAGTGGACCAAGTGAGTCTGTCGGGGATGTGCAGATCCAGATACTTCCAGCAGGACACCCTTTCAACTTCTGTGCACATGATGTAGAGAGGCGGCGGTGAACAGCTGTTCCTCCAAAAATCCACTATCAACTCCTTTGTTTTTAAAAGGTTCAGACAAAGGTTGTTCTCTCTGCACCAGGTCTCCAGCAGCTGCACTTCCTGTCTGTATGCCTGCTCGTTGTTTTCTGAGATTAAAATGAGCAAACTTCACTTAAATGGCCCATCTCATGCAAAATAACTCTTTTCACATTGTATCTTCTGCACATAAACAAGCACAGTTTGGGTTTTGGAACATCCATTACACAATAGTTCTGAAATCTTACTGATTTCTTGGAGGCATCACAGACCAGGAACATGGACGCAGCATTGAGCACCTGGAGATTTTAAAGTTCCTCTTGTACCGGAGCCAGAACATGAACAACTTACTTGTTTTAAGGAGGAGATTGAGAAGGAGAAGGACGAGGTTTTTGGTCGTGGTGTTTTGTGGGACAGTGGCAGAAACGTCCGTTGAAAGGAACGTGTGGATGTGGAGACGGAGCCAAGAGTGGTGAGTGGTGATGTGCTTCACTTCAGTAACACGAAGTTCATTAACAATTTTCGCCTACTTCAACGCAGAATAGTGACGTTTGGGGTTTGTTGATAACATGTAGGTGGATGAATGCGCTTTGACCGTTCACACTGAAGTCGCATGTCAAAAGATCAGATATGTATCAGTTTTAGGAGCACATATCCAAGTGTCCTGGGTCGTATTTGAAAAAATCGGATCTGTGTCGTTCAGACTGTCATTAAAAGATCAGATACAGGTCACATAGGGGCCAAAAAATCAGATTTGGGTCACTTCAGGCTGCAGTCTGAACGCAGCCTTAGAACACAACCAGGAAGTGCCTCAGTTGGGACCTCGAACCAGAGAACGGCGCGGCTACTGCTGCAGGTAAGAGCGTGGGGGGCGTGGGCGTCGAGTGTGTGAATCCAGGTAAAGAGGAAACAGTATGTAGGGGAGCTCTGTCACAAAGCGAAACAAACGGACGACACTTGAGACTGATCCTTAGTCCAGGCGTCCACGATCCATCGGCAGATCGTGGCGTAATTCCCCCTGCCTTGCCTCGCTGTCTTGGTGAATGTGGATTATGGATGTGAATGTGGGTGGATCATTTAAGTTTTTTTTTTTTTTTTGTATTTCCTACGAGGACAACTCTAATATACATTGAGTAATACTGTGTTTGATGCAGCTTTGCGTGCATTTGTTTACATTTTACAGAAATGAAATTTAAAACCACATGACTCATTTGCATAAACTATAAGCTCTGAAAAAACAGCTCGCTCCTTGTGCTCTGATGTGGTTCAGCTTCTGTTGAACTTCGCGAGGCTCCTGACTACAGTACCTGTAATTTTCCGAAAATCCATCAAGTGGTGCGACTTCATAGTTTACCAAAGTCATACTAAAACATTTTCACAGATTTTTGAACGCTGTGTGCCACATAAAATCGGTTTAAGGTCAGTAAACACAACCAGAATTAAAACATAAGGCCGACTGTATTATAAGGTGCGCTGTGTGTTTTTGAGAAAATTAAAGGATTTTAAATGTGCCTTATAGTCTGAAAAACATGGTAAATATGTCATGTACTTGTGCCCAAACTAATGGTTTTGAGTTTATGTCCGCTGAAAAAAAATTAAGACGACAGTTTGAGCCACACACTGCAGGTTTACCACATCAACAGCACAGAGACACAGACACAGAGATGCAGACACAGAGACACAGACACAGAGAAAGAGAGACCCAGAGATGCAGAGACACAGATACAGAGACGCAGAAACGTAGAGACACAGAGACACAGAGACAGAGAGACACAGAGACGCAGAAACGTAGAGACGCAGAGACACAGAGACAGAGAGACACAGAGACAAAGACACAGAGAAACAGAGACACAGGGATGGAGGCATTTGTAAAGAAGGGAGCCTGGAGAAAGAGAAAAGCAGGACAGAGCTGCATGTCCCCGTTGATGTCCTCCATGTATTTTGGTTTGTCCAAGACCACATGCACTAACAGAGAAGGAGACAGAGCAACAGTGACGTGCTGGTGTTTGCTCTGCTCACACTGAAGTCCACAAAAACAACAAGAACATAAATGTTCCTGCACAGTTGTGTTTACTGTGTAGACAGAGACGTGTGTCTGTGGAGCACGACACAAAGCACGACTTTATTCAAAGTGACTGAACAACAAAGTGTTACTACTATAAAAGTGAAATGGAATTCAATATAGTTGAGTTTGTTTGAATATTCTTCTTTCCTCCCTCAGGCTGTTCACTCTGCTCTTGTTCTTAACAAAAACTGGTCCTTTTACTTTATCACTGGAAAATGAAATGACTAATGTGGCTGTTATACTTATTATTGTAAGTATAAGGCCGATATCGTGAGCCCTTTTATAACTCTGTGAGAGCTCCCACTATCAGTAAATATGATAAATACTGTGAGCTTCACACTGAGATAATATGGACCTGTGAGAGTATGGACATTGTTACAGCACTAGTTGTTCCTGCTCACAAACAGACCAGGGAGGTTTTCCATGAAGTGAGCTAAAGTGAAAGTCTGGCTTATTTGGGCAATCCAGGCTCATCAAAGCCTCAATTTCACCAACGTGACCTGAGGTTGACCTGAGGTGACCTGAGGTGACCTGAGCTGCCGCTGTAACAAGCACCAGGAAACAAACCTGGTCAGGACTAACATCACACACCTGTGTTACCACACCTGTGTGTGTGTGTGTGTGATGCAGTTTAAACACAAACCTGTGTTAGAACACCCGTGTGTGTGTGCGCGCACGTGTGTGTGTGTGTGTGTGTGTGTGGTGTGTGTGTGTGTGTGTGTGTGTGTGTGTGTGTGTGCGTGTGTGTGTGTGTGTGTGTGTGTGGTGTGTGTATGTGTGTGTGTGGTGACGTGTACAGTGAAAAGTGACGTTTCCAGTCATTCCCACATGTTTGTATTTGTTTCATATGTGTTCATTGTGCGTGATGTCACTGTAAAGTAACAATAACAATAAAGTGTACGAGGTTTGGCTCACCTTCAGTTTCCTGACAGCGTCCTTCACCACCTCTGTGCCCTTGGGAGCCTCCACTTCTGTGTTTCCCAGGAACTGGAACCACAAAAAAAACAGACTGTGAGAAATGAGGAATTAAACTAGATTTTTGGTGCATGAATTCGGCCAAAAACTCCACTGTGTCACCACATGACATCACAACGTGGAACAGAATATTTTCACTTTGAGTGAAGAACGCTGCCTAAATATGCAGAGTGTGTGTGTTAAACATGTGTGAATGAAACAACTCCACAACACAACTCCAGGTGTGTGAAAGTGCTTGAATAGTATAGTATATATATATATTATAAAGAGTGTATGTGCTGGAGACTGTGCGTAGGCTGAACACATGGACAGGGACATCACCAGTGAGGAATTAAACACGATTTTTAATGAATACATCTGTCTGCAAACTGGGATTTTCACAGTTGTGGCAAATCTGCTCCTAAAATGTTTCCACTGAGTCAGTAACATATTTCCTGACAACACTGAAAATCCTGTGAAAACCTCAAATGACTTTGTTTTCAATAACTCTCAAATGTTTCTATAAAATTTAGAGTTGAAAACGGAAATGTGTTCTTGCTTCTACTAATTGTGTGCAAATTTAACTCTGACACTAACAAAAACAGTAACAGCTAACACAGAACATATTTTGGTTCAGTGTTTCGAAAATGCTGTATTGACTGAAAACGACAGTTTCAGTTTAGTTTTCCACGCTCCCCTCCCTTTGCTCTCCATGCTAAGTCACTCCCCCAACAGAGCGATACTTGGCGTGTGTCCTGCTCACTGCTGTGCATCACATCAGGTTTGTTGAGCTGCTGTGAACAGTTTTGTATCATGTTTTTTTGTATATTTATGGAGAATAGTCGTGTGGGAGCATGGGTGATGTAGGCTTGTGGGCGGAGCCTTGTACTGATTCTTACAGCTAATCATAATGAGGGTTTGAATAGGGTCTAAGAGAGATCACTAAATTACTCAAACATGCATGGACAGTGGTGTCGTAGTACTCAAGACCAGTACCAAGACTGTAAAAAATGGTCTCGAGGCTGGTCTCAAAACTGTTTTTTTTTTTTTTTACAGCAGTGTTTCCCAAAAACTGGGCTGCAACCCTGAGGTGGGTCACAAGAGATTTTTTTTGGGGGGTCACCTTGTCACGATCTGTATGCAGGTCTGTGATATACAAGGTTACATTTAATGTTGACTTATGGATCCTTTTATTGTTGCTTCAATGACTGTTTTTCATTGTTTAAAACTTGAGTAATACTAATTATTCAGAGACACGATCACTCAGTCAACAATAAAATATCCTCACTATTGTTCAATAATGCTCAAATCCACCTTTATATTGTGATTTATGAATAATGTCTATTGACTTGATTCACAAAGGTTTGTGACTTTAAAATATGAAAAAACAAACAAACACTGTTTTACGGTCTTGGTCTCGTCTCGGACTCGAGTGTATTTGGACTCAGTCTTGTTTTGGTCTCAAAGGTGCTTGGACTTGGTCTTGTCTCAGACTCAAGGTCTGACGCTGTGAGGGTCCAAAAAAGGGGCACAGAGTGTTTAAGTGCAGTACAGTTTGTTTGGCTTATTTTAGAATTAACATTAATCAGATAAAATGGAGATAAATTTATATAAAAAAAAACAACATTATATATACATATATATGTGCCAAAATAACTCTAAATTATTTGGACTATAAGGTACATCCTTTAATTTTCTCAAAAATCGACAGTGTGTCTTATAATCCGGTGCTCCTTATGTATTCATTCTGGTTGTGTTTACTGACCTCAAACTGATTTTATGTGGTGCACGGCGCTCAAAAATCTGTCAAAATGTTTTAGTATGACTTTGGTAAACTACGAAGCCGCACCACTTGATGGATTGTTGGAGCATTACAGCTACTGTAGTCAGGAGCCTTGCAGAGTAAAGGGCGAAGTATAGTTCTGCATCAACTCAACGCACACTGTCGCTGTCACCTTGTCACTGAGAGAACACACATATTCCACTGAGTCATGTCCTTTAGTCAGAAACTGAACCGCATCAGCGCACAAGGAGCGAGCTGTTTTTTCAGAGCTTATAGTTTATGCAAATGAGTCATGTGGCTTTAAGTTTTGTTTCTGTAAAATGTAAACACAATGTGGCAAAGCTGCATTAAACACATTATTACTCACTGTACATTTGAGTCGTCCTCGTAGGAAATAAAATAAAATAAAATAAACTTAAATGATCCACCCCCATTCACATTCATAATCCACATTCACCAAGACAGGGAGACAACGCCGGGCGAATTACGCCACGATCTGCCGATGGATCGTGGACGCCTGGACTAAGGATCAGACTCAAGTGTCGTCCGTTTGTCCGTTTGTTTCGCCTTATAATCCGGTGCTCCTTATAGTCCGAAAAATAAGATACAAATTAATCTTGAAAATTACAAAGATGATCTCGATTTGGTCTCGATGGGCCATGGTCTCGGTCTTGTCTCGGTCTTGATCTCGTCTCGGTCTCGGACTGGTCTCGGTCTCGATTAGCGCTCTCTTGACTACAACACTAACGGACGGCATCTAAATCTTCTTCAGACGTGTTTTTGATGAGGAAATATCGTTATAACACGGAAGAACGCTCCGCAATACCCCCTCCTTTAACCTTTCGCCATCTTAAATTATATCACCCTAGAGAAAGTTGTGGTGTCATCTGAAACGCAGCCATAGAACCCAGCGGAACGTGATAACAGATAAAGCGATGACATCTCCGCCGGAAAAGTTACACAGCGCAATTTAATCTGGCTGCCATGTTGTTTTATTTTTATTAAAATAAACACGAAAACTGCGGCGTTTCCTGTGTGCGCGGTGTGCTGAGTCAGTGTGAATCTAGTGCGCGTGGAGGCATTTGTGTCGGTTCAGGAGAGCAGAAGAAACGGTCCGCTCTTGTGTTTAATATGGCCGCTCACATCTCTAATAAAAACATTTGCCGGGGTCGTAAATCAAACGCACCCTCCCGCCTCTGAGCCGCTCCGCTCTCTCCCACAGGGGGCGCTGCTCAGCTGAAGACGGAGCAGAAGATTTCCACCGTAAATACTTAGGTTATACTGGAAGATGCAGACAGGTCACCTTAATCTGAAACAGTGCACCGAAATGAAACTAAACTCGAGCTTTCTATTACTGCGGTAAAAGGATTGCACAAATATAAAACCACAAGGGAACAGAAATAAAGTACTACCATTTATAGTTGAAAATCACAGGATATTGTCTAAAGAAAGAGTGTTTTTATTTTCATGGTGGTATCAGAATCAGGATTGAGTCAAAATCGAGTTTTAATTTTAGTATCATGACTATTTGCTAAATGCTAAATTTATTATAATATAATATTGAAAATGAGATGAATAATTTTAAAAGCCTAAACCAGGACTAAACCAACAATGAACCAAGATTAATCCAGATCTAAACTGGTATTAATCTAGGACTAAACCAGGACTAAACCAGGATTAATCCATATTTAAATTAGGACTAATTCAGACCGAAACCAGAACTAAACCAGATCTAAACTAGATTGAATGAACCAGGACTAATCCAATTTTAAACCAGGTCTAATCCAGATCTAAACAGGACTAGGAAAACCAGGGCTAAACCAGATAAACCAGAAAACCAGGGAAAGAAACCAGGACTAAACCAGATGAAAACCAGGGCTGAACCAGGATTAATCCGCATTTTTAAACTAGGACTAATCCAGATCTCAACAAGGACTGAACCAGGACTAAACCAGATCTAAACCAGGTCTGAACCAGGATTAATCCATATTTAAACTAGGACTAATTCAGATCTAAACCAGAACTAAACCAAGACCAATCCAGATCTAAACCAGGACTGAATCAGGATTAATCCAGTTTTAAACCAGGTCTAATCTAGATCAAAACTAGGACTAATTCAGATCTAAACCAGGAATAAACCAGATCTAAACCAGCACTGAACCAGGACTAATCCAGGACTGATCCAGTTTTAGACCAGGTCTAATTCAAATATAACCCAGGACTAAACCAAAACTAAACCAGCCCTGAACCAGGACTAATCCAGATCTAAACTAAAACTAAACTAAACCAGATCTAAACTAAATTGAACCAGGACTAATCCAGAACTAAACCAGCACCGAACCAGATCTAAACAAGGACTAATCCAGATCTAAACCAGGAGTAAACAGGATCTAAACTAGATTGAACCAGGACTAATCCAGAACTAAACCAGGATTGAACCAAGACTAATCCAGTTTTAAACCAGATCTAAACTAGGACTAATCCAAATCTAAACTAGCACTGACCAGGACTAAACCAGATCGAAACCAGAACTAATCCAGATTTAAACCAGGACTAATTCAGATCTAAACCAGGACTAAACCAGGTGTAAACAGGATTATTGAGAGCATTTGTTCAAAATGAAATGAATTCAGTAAGAGCAAAACATGGGTAGCACACAAACACACTCACACACACACATCCCTACACACCCCTACACACACACCCCTACACACACACACACACACACACAGGCTCAGTCGTCGGTGTATTCACACATTCACACATAATTCCTGTCTCCTCATGACCCTGTATTTATTTAACAGCAGCAGTTACAGTGTTTCACAGATTTGTTTTTTCTTGTTTCAGCTCATAATGAAACGGCCCTGAAACACAAGCTCAAACTAAACACACACATCTACATCTCCTCTCCTCCTTGACCCACAAAACAAACACAATGAGAGTCCACAGAGACGTGCGCCATTATCATTATTATTATGCTTTTTTAATAAAACATATGCACCAGGTTTTTACACTTTATTTACCAAGACTAATGCAGTGTTAAAGAGGCGCTGTGGAACTTTTCTGGTGGAAGTTTTATACCGTGCCTGCTTGTCTCCAGGGAGATGTTATTGCAGGAGTGACCTCAGGGAACCAAGGCACCTGGCTGGTCTGTTATCAGCCCTTCAAGACCTAAGGGCAGTTTTAGTACATTTGTCCTCGCCTGGATTTTTTTTTAATGTTGTTATTAAAACTCCCCTTTAACCAATAA